AGTTCTTCAATGAGAAGAAGAGTTGTTATTCCCACGATCATCGTTCTTCTGACTGTTGCTGCAGGTGAGATAGCTATGGGGACTCAAGCTGCTATTCCTCGTGTTGCTACTATCATCATTATTCTGGTTGTTGCTGTTCCTCCTCCTGCTAGGGTTGAGATAAGATGATGGTCTGCTATAAATGTAAACGTACCAAAATGTCCCCTTTTGTCAGGATCCTACGCTTTTAGACAGGTCTTTGAGGGAACCATTATGTTTGCACACTCCCATATCTAGCTTCACGGGTCTCAAGTGGTGTCAGGCTTCATACTGCCAGCCCAGCCAAGGAGCTTTCCAAGCTCCACCTGGCTGATTTAGGCAGATGCCTGGGGCAACATGAAGGACAGCACCCGGACACCGAGAACGATCCCTTTTGTGGTCCAATGACACCGAGTGCGATTAACCCAAAATCAGTACAATGTTAACAAATCAATGCTGCGGGATCTTAGAGAACCCCAGGAAGGAACATGAGCCACGGAGAAATGCACCAGCCAGGAACCTTACAGTAGAAAGAGCACCTGAATCTCTGAGCGCCAAAATAATTCATGGAAATCTCAAGGCCCATCTTAAGAGATACGCCCAAGCCCCAAAGGGCTCCACATCACAGAAGAAAGGCATGCTTAGAGGAGTGACAGAACCGCAGCAACAACCGCACTCTTGTCCTGGCTCTGCTTGCTTTGCTCATTTTATTAGTGCCAAGGGGGAGTGGGGCAGCGAATAGTGGTACCGCTCTAAGGGAATAGAAGGAGATTACATAGGGATTTATCGGGATCCACTTCCACCACTCTTCCTTAAGCATCAGTATGTATCTCTGCTTGCTAGGGCACTAAACCCTAAACGCCAAACCCCAAACCCTAAACCCTAAACCCCAAGCCCTAAACCCTAAACCCCAAGCCCTAAACCATAAACCCCAAAACCTAAACCCTAAACCTTTAAGTAACTCTGCTTGCCAGGGCACTGCGACTTCTTCGCCGGTTGGCCTGCAGCCATGCAGCCAGGCCGAGGGGATTCAAGATCCACAAGTAGACGGGGTTTCCCAAATTTAGGGGTTTTTATGGGGTTAGGGGTTACATAGGGGGGTATATAGGGATAAGGGCAAAGAGAATGGAAACTACTATTGAGGGTTTATGGTTTAAGGACATAAGGGTTTCCCAAAATTAGGGGCACCATTTTGGGGCTCCCCAGAATAAGGATTATAGCGTTTGGGGGTCTATATTGGGATCCCCCTACTCAACGAAACTACCAGAAAGAATATTGCCATGGTTTTGTCGTAGCAGGAGTCTCCACATCATTACAACTAGCGGGCTTTTTCATGCTAGCTTTTCAGCTTCAATCGTAATACTTACGGGTTCAAGCTGGCAGCAACTTTGTGTGTAGGACCCTGCTTTTAAGTCCTAATTCGCCCTCTTGCTCGAAGCTGGTATATAGAATATTGGTGTTCAGGAGCCTGCACAATCTTTGCGCCGAGATATGTTGTGATCTTCGCACATCTTCAAAAAACTGACCGTTGTCCCTAGACCACCTGACCTTTCTCAGTGGGTTCCGGAACGACACATGCCGAGCCCGACTCTTCAAGGTCTCATGCGGCGCAGAACAATTTCAGTTCCATTCTGTAGGCAATCCGAACATGGGGACACTGCGCCTTCACCCAGCAGTCCAGCCTCTCAGCACTCGTACACACCGCACAAATTCTGACAGTTGGCGGTGTGGTCTTTCTCCCCTGCCTTTGCGCTAGAACCTGCTCCCTGCATCCATGAGTTATTCTGCCTCCGATTATTCCGCCAATGTTGCTGCCTGTTTCGCAGATGTTTTTCGGACTCGCAGTTGCAATTGTCAAGCAGCTCGCCAGAATTCGTCAGCAAGATTAACCTTATGCATGTCTAGACATGGTGAAAGCCAGGCAGCACCAACAAATGCCTGCCTCAGATCTTCCAGTGTCGGGCTGCACGCCCGTTCGGACACAGCAAGAACAAAATAGGACTGGGTGCCAGTAGCTGGCTCCTGCATGTTTGGGTCTGGAGGTCTAGGAGCCTGTTGCGAAGGCCTGCCATGAATGAGACACTCCAGAGACGTCACGAACTTTCAACAAAGTGAGTATGTGCAAAAGAGTTGCACTTCGACCCTGCAACCCTAATGAGATGTCACAAACTTTCAATGAACGGAATATGTGCAAAGGAGTTGCACTTCGACCCTCCAAACCCAATAGAATGCAGGTGATCAGGAATACCTGAAGTTGCTGTTTCAAATCTTGCGCATGCTGTTACCCCTGATTGGACAATGAGAAGGTCTGAGTACGAACGTTGGTAAGGATACTCAGGATGGCTTTAATGTTGAGGTTAAGACTTGAGACTGTGTATTTGACAAGGTTGGCAATTCAGTGGCGCCCTCTGTCTTTCTGGTGCGGCGCCTGGCGGCGTCGTTGTCGGCCATGGACGCAAACATCTCCTGCTACCCGCAGCAGACATAAGATCATGCCTCCATGGTTGAGAAACTTCCATGACCCAAAATAGAAGCTCATGCAACTGTGAGCCATGTTTGAGAAGGAAGGACCGCTTGACTTTTGACGAATTTAGGTTAGAAGGACAGCATCATTCAATGTAGGCCAGAAATCAAATCCTGCAACGCTCTCAATTCAACCGTTTTAGCCGACCGGGAGAAATCAACTGGTTTCAAAGGCACCCACAAGCTCCCAACAGCAGACATGGGAAGCACCCCCCCCTTAGAAGCCTCAAAGAGCCGAAGTGGAAAACATTTCAGACCTTTTCTTTCCGCAAAGCCGTGCAGCCTGATCAAAAACTGAGAAGCCTCACTCGCAACGAAAAACTGAAGAACTAAAACTGAGGGCACCTAGGGTTTAGGGGTTTTGTTGGGGTTATAATGGAAAAGCAAATGGAAACTACAGGGATTAGATAGGGGTTATATAGGGGTTATATAGGGTATATATTGGGGTTATATTGGGGTTGTATAGGGATGGTAGAAAACAAAATGGAAACTACTATGCAGGGTTTACTGCCAATGGGTTCGCCCAGCTCCCTAAACTCCTAAACCCTCAATCCCTAAATCCCAAACCCTAATCTCCTAATCCCTAAACCCCTGAAGCTTAAAACCTAAGCCACAGCCGAGCTCCTGCTTTGCACGGTTCAGCTGGCCAGTTCGGATCTGGCTGCGCAGTCGCTCCTGCAATTGAGTCCATGGGATTTCACGGGTAGGCCTCTGATGCTAGGGTTTATAGGGTTTAGGGTTTAGGGCCTGGATTTCTATAGTGCTCTCAAGGATGTAAATAAACTCTGTGCAGGGTCAGCGGGCTGGGCGAAGTAGGTCAGGGAGCACCCCCAGGCAATGGAAGTAGGTCGCCCAGACCGCCCAAGCTCTGTACTCCCAGGTCACCACTACAAGGCTTCTTGGAATTCATTCCTGCGGACCTCAATTGGCAGGTTGGCACCTACGGCTTATGAAGAAGTTCTGTGTCGCAAGCCGTTATGTACTTGCCACCCTTTGGCAGAATCATATGAAGACATATCCCAACATGTCGCCGACCTCCATGAGACCTGGCATGCTAAATGCAGAGCACTATACACACATTTTCCGGGCATGCGTAGTGCCATGCCAGAGCAAGCGTCACCTCGATTTGTGCACTTGTGTTACAGCCTATCAACATTATAATGCCTGTGGGATCCTCCCTGTCCTTCTTAACATTCCAGCTATGCAGTCTCAAGTTACGTGGAGAGTCCCAAACTTCCTACAAGCACTCACACCATTCTTACAAGACTCTTATAGGGATGAAAGCATTCTTTCTGAACTACATGCAAGAATAGAGCGTCGGCGTCATGCGAACTATCCTGCCACTAGATTCCCACGTGGTATTGTTAGAGAACCTCCTGAAGAAGCAACATTTCAGACAGACTGCTCGCCCTCCTCTTTATATGTTGGTACTTTCCGGGGAAGATCCGACACGATGCAGGACATCAACATGCAGTGCTGTTAACCTCACGAAGCAAGAGGCTAAGTCAAAAATGGGCGCAGGATATTTCTGATATGAGGAGCCCCCAAAACGACACCGCTCTAAGGCACACCTAAATCCAAAACTGTGAGCCTAGACCCAGCGCTAGCCCATACACCCCGAATCCCAGACCCCAATGAACCCTGAGATCTCTCCACCTTGCCCAACTGCCTAGCATGGTTTCTTCTGCTTCGGGGTCCTTGCTGCGTTGTTGGATCTCCATCTGCAAGGCAATGACAGCCTGGTTGAGGGCAGCCCTACCAGCCGCGTACTCTATAGCTGCAGCTACTAAGCTCCAGTGCAAGTTCAGTTGATCAATGGCGCTATATTTCTTGGGGGCTTCATCATCATATTCGGCATGTGAGGATTCTATCCCGGGCTCTGTTCATCAGATTCTGTGACTGTGTGGCGCGTGCCCCGGAAAGGGATTCAATTGACGGGGGCCCTTAGTCAGTCAAATCCAGTGCCCAACCCTTTCGCATGTTCACGCACACCACCTAGCGGGAATGTCTCGCAGAGCACCTCCCAAGAATGCTTCTGCTCTTGGAGCTTTTGGCAGATCTTCTAGGGTTTACAGCATATTCGCATGCATACCTCTGGAGGAAGCTTCGTGTTAAGAGGAGCCACAAGCAGTTGCGACTGTCGTCATCATGCGCAGGGGCTTCGGTGAAGCCCTAAATTCCCAAACCCTAAAAATGACGATGGCCAGAAAGTACTCAGGACTGGCATAGCCATGATACGAGCGGCAGGGATCAAACGATCACTTGCCCCTAAACCCCAGACCCAAAACTTCTAACGGACTCTATAAATCTATAAGCCATGAAAATTGCACGCCCCAAAACTTGTGATCCCAGAAACTCTCAAGGAACCCTGATTCCCTACACTTACCAGGTTTGAACGCCTACAGCGACTCTCCCAACCCCCGTTTAGGGCTCAAGGTTTGGGATTTAGGGCCCAATGCCTGTGGGTCGCCCATGGACTGCTGCTCCAAAGCCAGCTTCCTGCGAAAGGAGAGTGCTGGTTCAGGTGGCTTTGGGGGTTTAAAGGTTTTTGGGGTTCAGGGCTTCCTGCCCCGTGTGTATATATGTATATATGTACATATACGGCATATACACATAGACATACACAGATTCCATAGATGCCTTCACAAGCCTAGAGGCCTGTAGGAGCACAACAAATCATATTGGCAGCCGTCTCATGAAGTAGTTGCTCTGGTTCATTGGGAGTTGAAGGGTGTGATGAGGTCTGAACAGTTTCACACAGGACGTGCGAAGTGAAACAACATGTGGACGTTCCTCTAGATCCAGTATTCACTCCGGTTTCTTGCGCCGCCCTTGCGCAGTCTCACGCCGAGGTTTTAGCACAGTTCTAGCCTTGCACCACATTAACCACACATATGGAAGTCTGCAAAGACCAAGGCTGATCTCCTAATGAATTCTTGCGCGCATGCTTGCGCCGTCTTGATCGCGCAGAGTTTTCCAACCCCCGCTTAGAATCCTCATGCCGCCAGGCTTCCAAAAGAGGAATGTTTTGAAAGAAGTCTATTACTATTCTTACGATTACAATTATTACTATTATTGTTGTGATGGTTAATATTATTACTAGGAACCCTTGCCTGACGCATGAAGGATGCCAAGCCAAGTTGCGACCAACTCCAATACAGACAGGTGTAGCAACAGTACACTCGGAACGATAAGCCAATGTCCATCGTACGGCAGCAAATTGTAGCGTGCTTTGCAAGCTGAATGATTTTAATACTTCGTACAGACCGTACAGATGAAAACGTGTCGAGATTGGGGCCCTGAAGCACCATCCCCCTAAACCCCCGAAAGTTTGCTCGTAAGATCACAAAGTAAGCCCCTCAACCCCAAACCCTACTTCCCCATAGCCTTAACCCTCAGCCATAAACCCTAAACATCCCTAAACTATGGCCTTAGACATTATGCGCTATAGTCTAAACTCCTAGTATCCCCCTTAATAACCCCTATACTAGTCCCATATATAATCCCTATATAACCCCCCTTTAAGGAGTTTAGATTATGGCTCATATGCAAGCGTTGGGGGCGCCTCTGCACTGCGGCCTCCTCGGCCCAGGAGCCTCGAAACTTCAGTGGAGTTTTGGGTTTTAAGGTTTAGGATTTTACAGATTTAAGGTTGTAAGGTTTTTTTTGGATTGGCTTGTGGTTGAGAGATGATTGTAGTAGGAGTCTTGGGTTTAGGGTTTTACATCGAGAGTTTAGGGTTTGGGGGCTACAGTAGGATGGAAGATGTGGTTAGTTTAGGAGTTTACTTACTGGATCTCTATGGTAGTCGTCCGAAAGCCATGGCAGATTCCATGTTCTTCTGCACTTTTCGGTGCCTACAAAAAACCAGCAAGTCTAGGGGTTTCAGGGCTTAGGGTCAAGGGGGGGTCAGAGGCTCAGGGCGGTTTACTGTCTTGGGGTTGGGCGGGGGTCTACGGTGGCCACTCGTAACCAGCGTCATTACAGGCACTCCTTTTCTGATTCTCTGATCCTTGCCAGGGCTCTTCCTCCAAGTGCAATACTGGCAAGTCTATTCGCAAAGTATCTTGTCGTGGTTGCGATGATGGTGATTAGTGTGAGGCATTTCTGGTGGCGCTTTGCCAGGCTTTCCCGTAACTGTTGGGTCCTAAATAATCACCAACATCATTTTGAGGCAGCCTATAGGAGGTGTACCCTACACCATAACTGTACAAGGAATCTAATATCATAGTATTGATAATTGTTTAATCATCTACGTGATGCCGCTGTCTTGAAGGCCAGGCAGCGCTGCCCGGGTAGCCGTACGCGCGGAGGCAGAGGCGGTGGAGATCGGCTCTCCTGTTTGGCTTTTGGGGGCCTCACGAGGTTTACGAGAGAAGGTCACATGTACAGGCGGAATGTGAGCAATGAAGGTGATGAAGATCTTAGGGGCCGTCACAATCATGGTGTGCTTGCTGTCTAGTCCTAGAAGGCCTTTAGGCACACAAATTTTCAGATCTCCTCCGGTGACGCCAGTATGGTCTCCAGCACATTTAAAATGCCCGGAATCTGAGAACGCTATTGTATCAGAAACTTGTGCTACCCTTTTCGTGCTCGAGGGCAATGGCTTACACGTTCGTTGGTCATTTCGTACAAGGAAAAACTGCTCATGGTAATGTTGCCTATTTCTATTTTGGGCTTGCATTTAGTATAATTGTTGTTCGGTTTGCGCCCATTTGCGTTGGGTCTCGTCATTTTTCGCGGATTTGTGTTCAACATTTAAGAACAAGGTTTAAGAGAAGGTAAATGCACGAAAGTGGTATTTGCTTGCCAAGAAACAAGCGCTTGGTGCATCAATGCTCACTCCAGAATTCAGTCAGTTTGGTCAAAGAAGTAGACATAATGAAAGGGTAATGCGCACGTTGATCTTGTTTTTGTATGACTTGCGAGATCCACTATACACAATCCTTTGAAACCCCGTCAAAGAAACCCCTGTAGTCTCCTATGACCTTGCAGAAAAATAGCATCTTTAATAATTCCATTGGGTTGAACTACAAAAAATTAAACATAATTCCTAAGGAGACCCATAGCTGTCAAAAAATTTCGGATGTTGGACGGCCTCCGCTTCGCGCCATGCAGGTGCTTTGAGCCTCCGCGTGGAGGAGGCGTAGGCTTTCCAGAAGTTCAAGGCGTAGCCGAAGTCCTCTGGCCTAGGGTTGCCATCATCCAACATGTGGGTTTCCCCAAGATTCCCCAAGTTAGATTAGGTTTAGTGCTTTTTTTGTTTTTCTCGTCGGACCTTTTCTCCACCCGAATAGTATCCAAGCAAGGTTTAGGGTTCAGGGATTAGGGCTGTGGAGGTTTACTTGAATCCTTTTCAAAGTCCCTCAAACAAGAATGAGGGACCTACAGTCAGGCCATGCTATGCCGCAGTGGTGTAACTTCATTTGGGGTTCAGGTGCTAGGGTGCCCATGGTTTTGGGTGCAGGCGGGGTACATGCTTTCCTTCCCCTCTTGAAACGGAGTTTTATATGTGCCTGGTACAGGCCCATGTGTATACAAGGCAGATGGGGCTCTGCGACAAAGCAGGTTGTGGCAGGTTGACGTGTGCAGGTTGGGATTTGGAGCTTTGGGTCCAAAGAACTCTTGGAATTGGGAGTCAGCCCCGGCAGGAAAGTTCAGGAAATGGCTGTTCTGAGTTGTCTGAGCAGTCCCAGGCCTTCCTTGTCAGAACAGCTGATCAAGTTTCATTCTTTCTGAGAGATGGACCTCAAAAAGAAGTTATTGAGGAAAACACATGTGGCATCAGAAGGGGAATGTTGTTTTGCCTATCGTCGATCTAATTTACAGTTTGTCTTATCGCCATTGTTGGTTGTGTTCGTGTACTGTTTCTACTTCATCATGTGGTCTGGGGCTTGACGACATGGCAATTTCATGCCCGTTGACACGTGCTTCAGGATTTTTACTTTTTTGCACTGCCCATGTTTCCAATGTTAAGATTACTTAGTGGCATCAGCATAAACAGCGTTACTTAAGGTATTGCTCTTCCCTCTTCGACTACCATTTATACCATGTGTGGTTCTAGCCTCGCTTTGCAACTATCGTTACCATAACCCCGCATCGAGTGAAAATTTCCACATGCAGTAACTTATTGCATGCTATAGACTCTGGAATCTTCCAGGTGAAGGTCCTTGCACGGCGTGCAACCTTTCAAGACCTCACATGCTGACATGCACAAGATCTGCAGCCTTTGAAGATGTTGATGTAACGCGGTTTGCGCAATATTTGCAACCTCCGAGAAGCTCAACCTTGTGTCTGCAGCCCTGAAAATTTCCCAAATAACTAAAGCGTCCCAGTCTTCCACTTTTCAAGGGCTCCAAAGCCTCTTCATTCGAAGTGTTCGCAAGATTTAAAGAAATCCAAATGCGATCATTCTACACAATCCGCAGCCTTTGAAGAGCTCCACAGTCTGCGACAATCAGAAAGCTCCAGAGACTGACTTTCGAGTACCTGCAACCTTAGACCCTTCAAGAGCTCCAAATGCTGCAGTTTACATCGCCAGCAGTTGTTGCGAATGCTGGGGCTCATGTGGTTCACATTTTTGCAGTATTTTCAGCCCGTGGAGAGCCCTTTGAAATCCTTCATGTTCCAACTAATCCCCTCCGCCATTATTGAGCCTAAATATTCCCCAAACCTTAGATATTCCCCATATATTAGAGAAAATATGCCCCAATGGGCTTAATATGAGGGGGAGGGGATTCCCTAAACCCTACACCCCAAACTTCTGAGACACTCCGAGTCTTGTGCTTAGCAAGCTTGAGATGTTGTAAAATGCAGCGTGGCTCCCGTCAAACGCTGTCATCTGAGTTAGTCCCAGACCCGAAAACTTCTTGTTAGATACCAGAATGCTTTGAAAAGTTGAAATGTGAAACTAGTATTTCATCCAGTAATCAGTTCCTCATCCGGATGTGTTTATTATGATGTCTTGGAATAATTTCGTGTTGATCCCCCACTCTCGTGCTCAACACTCTCAGACTTTGCCATCAGTCTTCTGTGGCAGGGGAGTTGACGTGTGTGTATCCCTGAGACATGGACTGGACACTTAGAATGTGCTTAAGCGTGCCCTGCCTGAGTGCCAGGCACAGGAAGATAGTTTTCGGCTGTGCTACGCTCGTACGACCTGAGTCACTGAGGCCTTATCCTTGCCGTGGGATGAGGGACATGAGCCGGCTTTCAATGGCCAATCATACTGAGCGCGTACCCCAAAGCCATCTTCAAGATGGTTGGAAGCAGGACAGAACATCTACCTGAGGGTGTCAACCTGCAATGAGACCCCACATTCCGGGGACAGTGCTCGCATGCTACGAGGGCCATGATACTGGTAATGATATGGTTGCCTAGTACCGCGAACATGATCACGTCAGGGTATAGCGCAATGCTGCGAATAACCCTAATCCCTAAACCCTAAACCCTAAATCCCTAAACCCCAATCCCTAATCCCTAAACCCTAATCCCTAAAATGCCCGTCCACCGGGCCAGGGGCTGTTGCATCTCCTGGTCAAACTCAGCCTTCGGTGCAGCTTGGCAGCTTGGGACTTTGGGAGTTAGGGCCGGGTGTTGCTATCTCTTTGGGCCTCTCTACGGGTTGCTGTGAAGTACCAATCTCTAAGGGTCCAAGGACCCAGCTAGTAGGGTTTTTGGGCTCAAATACCATTCATAGAACAGCGCTTGGGCCCTGAGACCCTATTATTAAGGTATAGGATGAAACAACCTGCACACATTTGGGACCCCGCCATAGCTGCATGTCCCCAACCTGCTAGCACAGGCCGCCTCGGTGTTGTCCGTCAGCACAACCTGGACTCCGTACTCCTCTGCCTGGTTTAGGATCAAAACACTGTGTGTGCCTAGACCCTGAGCCTGAAAAACACTTGCATCATCGTCATGTGCAGCAGTAGCGGAACCACCACTTCTAATATGGTTCAGGGGAGAAACAACAATGAAGCACCGAAACGAGAATGAACATACAAACACGAGGAGCTCATCTTACCAGCATACCGGCAGTGCCAAGTAATCAACCGTAACAAAATCATGAACAGTCATGACCGCAACACTGCACTAAAATTGCTGGCAGCACGAACCCGCCGCTGGCTCCTGTGAAGAAGGCTATCCTGCAGAATTCCTGGAGAATTGTCTGTCACCCGTGGCTACGCTGATGCGTGCCGAAGTTTCTGCTGGATAACAAGATCCATAGCTATCACTACAGCAGCCTTCGAAAGTAGCAGCGAATCTGCAACCTGGAACCGCAGTCCTTAGTCCCAGAACCCTAAAGGACTTCCCAGCCCTTGCACCGCTACGCACCGCTACTGGACCTGCCTTCCTTCACCCTGAACTGTACACCAAAACCCTTGGACCAATCTCCTCAACTCTGCTTGCTGAGCAGAGCTCAGCCAGTCTAATAATAGTAATACTAATAGTAGAAGTAATAGCAATAGTACTAGTAATGGTGATAGTAATAGCAATAATAATAGTAATAGTCATGGCTATAGTATTGGCAGTATTCATAGCAATCATTAAAAGATAGTAGTAATGGTGAAAAGTAATTCCTGGAGCAACCGGGCCTCCTGGAAAGCCTCGTGCGACATCTCACGTCGGGCTCTGGCCTGCATAGTAAGTGCAAGGCGCTCCCTATACTTTGGCCTACAGTATGCTTTGGGGGCTAGAAGGGGCTTAGGGTTTAGGGTGTAGGGGTAGTAGGGAACAAGGGAATATATTAGAGGAAAAAGGGTGAGTAGGGAATAAGGGAATATATTATAGGGTTTACGGCTAATACGGAATAAGGGAATACATTATAGGGTTTAGGGTTAGTAGGGAATAAGTTGATATATTGCAGGGTTTAGGGTTAGTAGGGAACTAGGGAATATATTATCATAGGGATTTTCTAGGGATTGTATTTCCTTCTTCCCTACCAACCACCAGCAAGTAAAGGCGTCCTTTGAGCTCCCACGAAAACTACCTTTCGACCCAGATTCGAAAGCCCGGTTCTCGTACCCTAGCCCCACCCAAGCCGAGTTAGTTTGGACACGCCATTTCTATGTGCAGATCTACCTTCCCTGCAGCTGCGTCTCACCTCAAGACAATTCCAAAGCCTGCTTTGCATCAAGTCTCACGCTGGCCGGTGCTGTGAAAGTCAAGGGTCTAGGCGTGAAGTCTCTACAACTGCATTATGAGCACGCTGAGCAGCAGACTGAAGTGGCGAAACAAGACCCGTCTAACTTTCCAAAATCCCCATCTCCAGCTACGTGCATGACTGTCCTCATATCCCGGCAACAAGATCCCAAAAATTGTACACAAAGAAGCAAGGCCCGTGACCATTGCGAAAACATGCTTCTGCGCCAGCCTGGGCAGAAACATGATGCCCCCGACTGACACTAATAATTACATTAGTATAAGCAATTTTATTGTTACTCGTACAGGTATTCATACTAAGATATTATCAGCTTTGTGTTCAGATTTGTAGGCACTGATAGAGATTCTAAGGTACAGCAGCTGCTGCATTCTGAGCTGTCGCCTCCCATGAGTAGCTGAGTCCGGCATTTGTTACTCGTGAGGGAGCGCCGTTGGGCTTCGGCGCTCGCAACTTCAAAACTTCATGCGCGGCCCAGCAATGTACCCAGTAAGTTTGCTGGCAGCGCACGGTAAAGTGAGTTTGTAATTCAAGGGATGGCGTTGGAATGCACTCCAGCCTGGATGTAGCCAGTTGTCTTCCCGAAGTGCTATGCATCTTACATGGCCACACATTCATGCCACATCACCGCACAAGACCCTGGCCTAATCCAGGGACCAACTCCGCACATTGAATCTCTCAACACAACAGCTGCCATGGCCCGACCGTGGATCCTTATGATGGGTATCTAGATGAGGCGTGAGCTTTTGTGTGAAATCGTGGCATTTATGGTTTACTTTGCCAGGCCATCATGTACAGAGCGCTCAAGCCTCCTCTCCAAACTTTCCCTGATCAGCATGGCATTTGCGTGTGATGTGAGATGACCATCTTAAGTCTAACCGGCGTTTCAGACGTGTTTAATCTAATTTTGGACCTCCCAAACTGGTCAGACAAAAAACAAGCTGGCACTGAAACCTTCCAATCCTTGGTGAGAAGCTTCGAAATCCAAAGCTCAGACGCTTCAATTTTGAAATCGGGCCCAGACAAAGAGACCCGCAGAAGTCACTTTCGCTACAAGCGCACAAGCCTAAGAAATGTCGAAGAACCCCGATACAGTATGCCCCCACAATGCCCTCACATGGCGCCTATACGTGCCAAAAATGACTCCGCATACTTTGCAGGCGCACTCGGACACCGCGATGGCTCAACCTCTAAGCCCATAGCCTGAAACCCTGAGGCACCACTCAGAGCCCTTGCATGCCAAGAAACACCTCTGGACCGCAGAGCTTTAGCACACCCTTCGCCTGGCTTCAGTGGATGTAGACCACATAGTGTAGGAAGCTTATGACAGGAATAGCACGCATGCAAGGTCAAGGGCTTATAGGGCTTAAGATGTAGGAATGGATAAGGAAGGGATTAAGGCTTCAGATTTGGGATGCTGTGAGTAGGCTGGTGCAAGGTGCTCGAGCTACAATGGCAGAAAGGGTACCAGTAATCTGGGTTGCTGTTAAGGAACTTCAATTATAATTACAGGGAATCTCCAGTATTTACTATATACCCATATCATGGCAACTTAATTCATTTGATTTCTCGGCGAGCCTGCTTCAAAGAGTGGGTTGCTTCATAGAAGTTTACATAAATGGCGGCATGCAGCATCATACTCCTGTGATGACACAAGCTTGTGCCGTGAGCTTTCCACACTCAATCTAGTTCGAACTATAAATATGACCTATACGCCGAAACTGATCTAAACCGAACCTATTCGACAAGCATCAACACACCGTTGCCTCTGCAACCCCCAAAACAGCTGCGTAGCCAAATCAGAGGAATCATGTGAAGGAAAGCGAATCCTCTGGTGTGCTGAACCTCACCCACGTAGCGCTCGCTTCCACAAACACAACCAGTTGTATTATCTAGGAGTTTCCTCAAGGGCAGAAATGCAACATCAGCGGCATCAGCTGTAGCGGCATCAGCTGTTCTGCACTTTCAGCCATACCCCAGCGATGCTACAGTGGGAAGCAAAGATGCTGACATGTCACCTTCGATGTGGAAAAGCGGAAGGATTAGCACGTTGCATAAAGGATAAACTGATCACAAGGCCGCAGGTAGAAACATTGATCCCCAAAGGTTCTGCGAACCTCGACTTTTGACTGAGGACAGGTTGATCTGATGTACTTGCAGCAAAAACGAGGCAAAGAAGCTTTTTCTGTCCGCGGTCCTACAGCATCAGAGCCGTCAAGTCAGCATCGATGATTTCACCCCTCCATCCCCTTCTGAATCGCTGCCACTATAGCGTGGCCCTAGATTACAAACCTTGAGATATATTATATATATAGCCCCCATAAAACCCCTATATCCTCTATATATATATATATACACAGAACCCCATATAACCCTCATATAGAGAGGGATCGAGGTAGTATGCATTTGGTCTTTGCAGGGGACTTCCAATTCAGAAGCAAGGGTTGCGTACGGAAAAACCATTCAGAACCTCGGGCCGAGATCCAGCTCTATGTAACCCTAAGGGTCCAAGGACCCAAATACTGAGGTTTTAGGGCCCAAATACCATAAGTATCATAATATTTGGGCCTTAAAACCCTATTATTTAGGTCCTTGGACCCTTCAGGGAAGAAACCTTTTCCTATGCTGGTCGTGCAGACCTGAAAGGCCCAAGCAATGTTGCATCGTGAAGTCATCCTAGCAATTTCTTTGGGGCCATCCTTGAAGTTTCCTTGCATCTACGATCTGCAGAGGCCTCTACCTTGATTTCTCTACAGGCAGTATTCCAAGCTTAGCAGCTATTTCCGGACCGCCCTGGACCCTAAGCCCTCAATAGTTTCTGAAGGCAAGGGCTCTGGACTTAGAGGCTCTTCTTTACAAAGTCGAGCGCGCCCGTCACCGCAGCTACCTGAGCCTCGTTGCACACGGCGTCTGTGACCTGGTTTAGAGCTTGGGGTGTAGATGTAGGAGGGAGTCCTACACACCCACCTCCAACCAGGGGTTATATGAGGGGTTATGTATATATAATATTATATTATATATAGGAGTTATATACAATGTCTAGGCTTGAAGGTCTCGCACTTGGGATGGCTTGGGCTTCACGACCTTGGCCCGGGCGTTTTGGATCCAAAAATCAGGGGTCCACTTTGTGGGGGTTACCGATGCTAAGGACCATATTTACATAGTATGTTTGGGTATATAAGGGGTCCCCTATGGAAACTACCATGTCGAGCCCAGGTGTAGTAGGAGGCTACACTGCATGCATAATCAACTTTGCAGCCCCGCGGGCTTTGAAACCCAAGCTTTGAAGTATGGAGGTCCTTCTTTGCTACCTTCCGCCCTCACCTGTTGACATCCCCAACCCCTACAACTCCTAAACCCTGAAAGTAGTCTGCAATATAACCCTACTATAACCTGAATATAACCCTAATATAACCCCAAAATAACCCCAATATAGCCCCAATATAACCCTAATATAACCCCAACATATAATGAACCCGCCAATGAGACCATGGTTCTGTCAAGCATCCCCCCACACTTACTCCATCAAAAACACGCAACTGGCCCACAAAGGCCCAGTAAGGAAATGAACGACCCTTGCTAGCTCCTACGAGGTCTTAGTGTTGGGACCCATCCGCCTTTGGGCTGTCCGGGTAGACTTCCGTTGTGCTCACAAACTTCGCGTCGGTCATGCTACTGCAGAGTCCCAGAGACTTCAGGGGGTAGTTGATGACGCCTGGCCCAGGGCGGTCAAGTCACTCAACTTCATCAACAAGATTCTGATGCTCTATCAGACCAAGCAAGCAGCTGCGCATTTCAGCAGGCAGGGAAGCAGTTCTTAGGTATGGAGAAGCGAGCATTTGTAAGAAGTACTTTGACATGCATTGCTGTGGCTTCAGTCTTTTCGTGGGAAGCATGACCAACCCAGGTCTAGTCAGATGGGCCAGCATGCGACCACTTTATAGGCTCTCACCCGCAAACCACAGAATTGCAAATGTAAGGGGCACATACCCGAAAGACTTCAAAATCACAGCAATTACAGACCTGAGTCTCCTGAAGCCATGATACAAACAGCCCCTTCACGCCTTCTTGGCTAATGGGCTCACCAATGATCAGGCCCTTTCCATCCGGAGGCGCTATGTGAGTCACCTGAGCTTTTGGGTACCAAGATTGCAGATTCCAAGAACGAAACGCAGGAACGCTGCGCAGGCGAATTTTGGAGAAGGCATGATGCTTAGACCGAAGCGCTTACAGACCCCTAAAGTAGACGGTGGTGAATGACGGATAGATGTTGGAAGTCGCTTCCCTGTAAGGTGTCCCTTTGACAAGTCTGGGAGTAGTGCAACACTGCCTACCCGGTCTTTGCCGAGGAGCTGCAAACCATATCCCCCTTGCGTCGTCCACTTAATTTCCTCCAAAAGCCTCTAAGATGAATTTCTTGATAATGTTGAACCCTGATTAGTGCGGAGGCCTGCAATAAAGTAAAGCTTTCAGAAACTGATTCTGAACCCCAATTGATTTGGGGGGCGGCAATAATGTAATGCTTTTCCGCCCAACGATCTGTTGCATGCTTTTTGATGAGGCCAGCATGCTCTTGGTTTTCAAGCCTGTCCTTTGAATGAAAGGGTTTAGGGTTTAGGGAATCTGGAGTTTGACGCCACCAACAACAGTCGATTTCTGATTATACCGCTTATCCGAACAGGCCAGGCCATCAAATTCCAAAGGGGGCAGTCCAGCAGACCCCCTGATCCTCAATCGTTTGGGTTTAATTGCTCGTTCACTTCAATTTCCAACCTATTCTAGATGATTCGAAACAGGTGCTCAATGATTTGAAATCGATCGGAATCGATTTTAACAGGATATTAGGGCGAAGCCTTTTAACATACAGACCCAGCTCTATTGCCGAGGACCATGCCTTTCCTAGTCTCTTCCAAACGAGGTTAACAAGTCCTTCGGAGTTCAATAGAAGCCGAAGCCAGAGGATCTACATTCCCTTATTGATTTTAATTGGAGCCATACCGTAGGATCTCCCAGACCACCAAATTCGTTTCGAGGACGTTTTCTTGTAGAGGCCCCCGTTTTTGTGTGGGGAGGGGGACCTTCACTAGTGAATCAGAGTCCAATAGTATGAGATACAGAGGTCCTATCCTCTACTGGGCCCACCTTCCGCACGGAGTCGATGATAGCAGCCTGAAAATCATCCTGCGGATTCTCCGTGTCGCCCACCTGGGCACTTGGTCGAGTCCAAGGCAACCGCCCGCTCTTGCAACGACTGACCCTGAAACCGCGCACCCTGATCCACCATCTGCTCGTAATAAGGTTTGAGGTCGTCCTACCCGGGCTATGCGAAAAACTTTTCTCTTGCAGAAACAACGCAAGGACCTGCGCAAGGATCATCATACTCAAAATGTCCACGCGGCATCCCCGGCCAGAAAATTGAATGCAGCTTCAGACTCAGGTTACCTCATAAAACCTTCACCCAATTACACGAGGTGCCCAGGTAAGCTAACCTACATCTGCTACTACAATGGGTTATATAGGGATTATAAGGGTACATATTTATGGGTGGTTGTCCAAATTATGGTCCCTCTTTGGATCCCTATTACAATACGGCACCTAATATTTAGGGTACCCCAAAAAGGATCATAATGTCGACAACCACCCATTAGTCTAATGGTTCTCCCCACACGATCCATAGCTAACATAGTTTTACGGTTTTTCAGAGAATTTCGTCAGAAAGACTCTTTGAACAAAATCCAAATCAATTCTTAGAAGCGCGATCGCGGCAAACCGTGCGCTAAGATTAAGAAACGTGCGCGACACGTTCTCCACCCATTGGTTCTTGGACTTCACACATGATCCATAGCGAACGTAGTTTCTACTCTTTTTTTTCGGAGAATTTCGTCAACAAAACTTGCTGAACGAAAATCGGGAAATTGGCTTTAGAAACACGATCGCGGCAAGCCGTGCTCGAAAGCTAAGAGACGTGCGCGACAAACCATCAGAATTAGGGGATATATTGGGAGAATGGAAAAGAAAATGGATACTACTAGATTATATACCTCGCTCGAGCATACTCCGACACTGTTCACTGCGATAACCCTAATATTATAGCCCATTATAGTATAGGTTTAGGGTTTAGGGGTAGTTTCTATAAACCCTAAACCCTAAGGGGATTATATAGGGGACTATTATAGGGGTTGTTAAGGGGGATACAAGGAGTTTAGACTTGAGACTACAGCTCAAATAGTGATTTCCATGTTCTTTTCCATTTTCCCTATACAACCCTGTACATATACATATGTATAATATGTACATGTATACACATATAAATACCCTACATTTGGGGACTATATCCAATCTAATTTGCTTCCTAATTCGGCTTTCTCTTAGATGCCCCGCAAGAGGCTGTTCACCTGAACTTCAACTACCGCGAGAAGGTTTCCTATGCAGGCTTCGTAGGGACAAGCACATCGAAATGGGCAACTGCAAAAAAGAAGGGCCTGGGAACATGCGCCAGGGCACGGTGTAGAAGCCGTCTGGCACGACATCTGGCACGTACTCTACTCCGTCGCGAGCGGCCAGTGCCGGGCGAAACTCGCTTTCGTCCGTGTCTGTGGTTTCCTGGAAGGACCCTCAAAGATGAAAGATGCATGATCCAAACCCTCCAATTACATGAAGTCGTAAATGCTTGCAGGTCTGCGCATTTCCCGAGCTCAACGGTTCTGACAGGTAGCTATCGGGATCTCAAGTCGAAGCCGAGACTCGTGAAGATCTAAATGCATCACCACCGGTGATTCGAGGCTGGAGACCAGCTTCATGATAGCAGCTGCCTCTTCAGAGTCTGTATCCTTCTTGAAGGACCGGTTGGGGTCCACAGCATTCGGGTTCCATCGGTTGATGGTCTCATACCCCCAAGGGCTGACGCAGGGGGCAACTAAAATGTCGAAATCCTCTGCGTAGTCTTTGGCCCGCGACTCCAGAAACCTTAGGGCGCCTTGCACTCCGCTGGTCTCATAACCATGCACACCGCCGGTGATCAAAACTGTTGGCTTTCCAGTCTTGCCGAAACCGTGTGTTTTGAGCGCAAGAAGAGGGTATCTTTCCTTATCGTAGGAGAGTGCTCCGTACTGCAGCACCTCGAAGTCTTCCGCCAGCTTTTGGACTTTGGAAACGACCTCTTCCTGGTAGGACCTTGAGACTCCCTAAGACACCAGCTGTTGCAGAAACAGACTGCCGTGACTAGTATCCATAGGACTGTCGCGACCCTTATTGTTCTTTACTGTCACTGTCCTGTGCAGTGCCCTCGCCACCATACTCTGCATCTGTCCCTGTGCCCATATGATATGGGTGCTATTTGAACAGGATTCGGGTTATGAGAACCACTCCCTATTGTCCCTATATAACCCCAATATTGTAATAGTTTCCATTTTCTTTTCCATTATCCCTATACTATAACCCCCCCCCCCCCATGTACATGTTTGGCATCCTCAGCCCTCAACCCCAAACCCTGAACCCCAAACCCCAAACCCTAAACCCCAAAACCCTAAACCCCTAAACCCTAAAACCCCAAAACCCTAAACCCTAAACTCCAAAACCCTAAACCCTTTAAAAAA